CGTCGGAACGAAGTTACGGAAAATCAATTAACAAACGGAGATGTAACAATACTTAACATAAACAACATTATTTATTTATAGCACAAGGGAACATAGATAAATGTTTATCGGGTTTCCTGGATTGGAATGTCAAAATGAATCACAAAAGAAAGTTCCACGGCTTTAAAAATCTCACTATTCGGTTATATAAGAATTAGCAGTGGATGCTATTAACTAGCTGCCTCCACTATAATCTATTAATTCAAAATCAGGGACGGCTAGTGCAGTAATTCTACACTAGCATTACACGAGTTTTCGAAAACAATATAAAGCTCCATCTAACGGTGAACATTTTTTTTTTCATATTTACAATATATGGATTATGAATAGTGTGTTTTTAATTAGCAGTTTATCCATGTTTTGCATTAAGAATATTTTATCATGTATTAGAATAATTTATATTTTATGAATTACATTTCGATTAAATTAAGACTCTTCATGTTTTTATATAGTTTTAAGCAAGTAGGGGAACTTCAAATATTTGGATTAATTTGGTAATTAAGTTCAGGTTATATTAATTAGAAGTTTATTTTTACTATGGAGACGTATATACTCGAGAAAAGCCTGAGAAAAATACGAATACGCCATTATTTTTTTAATTATTTTTTATGGTTTCCAGCGTCGAGAAAAGGCGTAATAAAATTCGTTTCAAAATAAAAAAGTCGCGCAGATGTGCAAGACGATATACATTTCGTTGTAAAGAGTGTGTGTTTAGTTATATATATATTGTGTCTGAGGCAAAAGTCAGTGTGGATTCTGATTACTCTTTTATCCTATAATTTTGCTGCGTTAGTAAATATATCGGCGTTTTAATGTCGTATTCCTAAAGTTAAACATGCTTAACAGTTCCCTCGATCCGTGAAGTAACTTGTAACGAATTTTCACTATTTGTGAGCCTACGGTAGCATGCATCAAAGTCATGTATGCATTAATGGTGAAAGAAAAGCTCGTGATTAGTGTACATGCAGAAACCACAGGTTTCTATCAATTTCCTAACGTTAAGCATCTCCGTGCGTAATGAGCCTTAAAGGTTTTTAGCGAGTGTGCAGTATTTCAATTCTCCGCCCTATTTTACGCTTGGAAAACTTCAAATTGAAACTGCCGTTGTGATATTATGAGAAATGCCTAAAGTAGGCCTAGCCATCTCATCTGTCAGTTGTTGCCCCATAGTGAGATGCCACCTGACAACCAACATCTGTTACTGTATTGGTTGCCTGGGCAACGAACATTAAGGTGAAATAGCATCCTGCTTTTGTTTTTTCTTTATGTTTTTTTTTTCAACAGTATATTTAATACAGCTTTTCCGATTTAATTCCTAGAGAAATCAAGTTTCTTGAAAGATATTGATACCTTAATTTATTTATTTCTAAATACGCTTGGCCTAATGTCATTAACGATGTGTTTCAATTGATCGGTGTATATTTCATTGATTAAGTGTCACGCCAGAAATTTCTTAATTAAATCTATTTGAAAAGTTAAAAGGAAATAGTTTTCGAGTTCAAGCATTAAATTCTGTTTACATCCTGACGATATTTTACTAGGGAAGTCATGTTTGAAAAATGATAATAAATTACACTGCAGGACATTTGAAATTACACTGCAGGACATTTGAAAACTTGGAAATTCTTTCCAGTGAAGCATGTTAGTAGAACTTTAAATTACAGAGCTATTTCCATTCATCAAATCAAAGCTAGGCTTTCAATCATTGGTGATAGAATTGATTTTTCTTCCATAATAAATTCTATGTGACAGATTAAATGCAAATACTTAAATATTTTAGTGTATCCCCCTCCCCCCATCCATGGT